CCTTCTGAAACAAAAGTCAGATATGTCACTCGTTGGCTCGCAGCTTTCTACATCAACTGACATTAAATTCAGACTTCTTCCCTTTAGGAACTTGCTCCCTGTTGTCCCTCTGATTCCATTCTCTGTTAACTTTTCTCCTTGCTCACACCACTCTATTCACCTTTGCCTCCTTACCCTTCCTTGAAAACACCAAACACACTTCCACCTCATGGCCTTTGTACCTCCTGGTCCTTCTGCCTCGATGATCTGTCCTCAGGCATCTGCAAGGCTTGCTCCTTTTGTTCTGCTCCAATGTTATCTTATCAGAGAAGCCTTCCCTGTCCATCTCCCCCAGCCCCACTGGGGAAGCTTTTTTGTTTACCCTGGTTTATAGTTCTTCACTGTACCCAGCATCTCCTCTGTATTTCAGGTCTGTCTTCCTACAGAAAAGCAGAGGCTTCAGTTTTGTTCATGCGGTATCCTCAGCTCCTAATAACAGTACCTGCAATATAGTAGGTTTTCAGGATGAATGAATAAATACTTGTATTTGATGTTACGTCTAAAAGTCAAAAATACATGAGTATGTTTGGATAAAGTTGCTTTGAAAAAAATAGGTTGTTTTCCTTGGGTTCCTAGGGCCATTACTTTCTTGGGATCATTTTTTTTTACTGTGCAATTTATGGATTTTTGGGAAACTGAGTATAGCTGCTTCTATAGTTACTTCAGTACAATTGTAGCAATCAATTGACATACACTTGTACTGTTCTAAACAAATATTTACTTTTAAGTTATTTTGTATGTTTTCTTATTTCATAATCATGCTACCTTATACATATGTACAAATCCATGAAAATGAGTACAATTCTGTTTATTTATTTTTAAAGATTTTATTTATTTATTTGAGAGACAGCGACAGAGAGAACAAGAGAGAGCACTATTGGGGAGGAGAGGGAGAAGCAGGCTCCCCGCTGAGCAGAGAGCCCAACATGGGGCTCAATCCCATGACCCTGGGATCATGACCTGAAACTAAGGCAGACATTTAACCGACTGAGCCACTTAGGTGCCCAAAAATGAGTACAATTTTAAACAGCAAATAAACATTGAAAATATAGAGATATTTTAAACAAGTTATTAGATTTGATGACTGTTGGATAAGAAAACCCTTCAAAGGGAATGGCTGAGGGCAACTGCGAAGATTCATCTCAGGTGTTTCAGTTGGGGTTGGTGGTGTCAAGGGTGGCCCCTTTTTAAAGAGTCATGTGCTAGACAGCCCACAAGCTGACCATTGTTGGGAGAAATTATAGAACATGCATGTTCTACAGAAAGCTAAAATGAAGATATAGAGACACAGAACTTGGTAATATGTACTCTGTTCCTCATTCTCTCTTGAGATTTTTGGTTTTAGCCATGGTCATACATTTTTAAAAATGTTAAATCTTGATAACCACACTGTTCTCATCTTTCTGTCACTCTTATGATGGCTGAATTGATTTATGTCAGCAGGTGATCAAGGATAAAATATCTTCCTCTGTACTCTGTGTTTTCAGAGTAGGTATGTGCTGTGGTTAGTTAATTAGCATTAATAATTAAATGTTTATAAATGGAGTGAATGGTTGCCAATCAGGGGACTATCAGGTGGACCAAAAGACACAAAAATCATACAGGTTATGTCAGTGAAGCAAACAATGGATGCAGACTCTTGCTATCTGAAAGAAAAGAGCACCAGGGGCTCATAGACTTAAGGCAAGGCTGGGAACAGCAAATACTAAGGAAGTGCAAAAGGTTAAAAACAAAAAAACCAGGAAGTAGGAAACTGTCTCTCACTGGCTTGCCCTGGTCAGGGCAAAGCTGCTGCTGGAGCTGCTTCTGCCTCTGCTCAGTGAGTCCTACCCCAAACATCATCTGTTCCCTCGTTCCTTGAGATTCGGTCCACCTGGCTTTTGGAGAAAATGGAGTGGTGGTGGGAATCAGAGGAAGGATCTGCCCTTTGCCTTGGAGACTGCTGCCCCAAATTGTTCTCTTGCTGAGACTATACACTTCTGGGGAGAGGTGCCTTATAAGAAAATGGAACTATCAGGGGTGCCTGGGTGGCTCAGTCAAACGCCTGACTCTTGATTTCAGCTTAGGTCATGATCTCAGGGTGGTGACATCCAGCCCTGCGTCGGGCTCCGTGCTGGGTGTGGAGCCTGCTTGAGATTCTCTCTGCCCTGCCTCTGCCCCCCCCAAAGAAAAAAAGAAGAGAGAAAATGGGACTATTATAAAAGATTATTGATGTTGGGCATCCCAAACTGACCTAGATGATTTGGACAGCAGTGTACATATAAAAAAATACCATGAGGGAAAATCTGGGAGAGCACATTGGTATACAAATTTTATAGAGCAATCTATAAATAATATGTGTATTAGTATTCATTATAGAGTGTTCTATAAGTAATGTGTATGTGTATATAATAGTATGTTTCTATTAAAAGTATTAATGCAAATTAACAAAGAGCAAAATTACATAAAAAACCAGGCAACAGACACTAATATATCATTCTCAGTCAATAGTACAAATAGTAAACATGAAAAAATAGTGTTCATCATTATTGTTATTGAATAAGTGCTGATTAAAACAAGATATGATTTTGATCCATCAAATTTTCAAATATAAGCAAACGATACTTAATATTAGAAGATCTTTGCAACATCTCACAGAGCTTCAAAATGTTTATAAATGTTGACGTAAGAGTTCCACTTTTAGGAGACTCTCCTAGGAATTTAGAGATCTCAATAAGGATTGGTATTTACAGTGTTCATTCCAGCATGTTTGTAAACTGCCCAAAGGTCTGGGAACATCCTCAAAGCCATCAATAGATAAATAGATTAAAAAATGGCTGGAATATTTTTAAACCCCCATTAAAAATTATGTTTAAAAAATTAGAGTAAAAAATACTCAACTTATAAATATTCAAGCAATGAGACAAGCAGGACTCTAACTTGTACAGCATGGTGTTAATTTTGTAATAAACATTTGTTTATGTATAGAACATGAACAAAAAAGGAACACACCAGAATGTTAACAATGGGGTAATATGTTGGGGGGGGGTTATAGGTAATTTTAATTTAAAAAATTTGTTTTCTGTTATCTCCAAAACTCTGTATTTTTGTAAAATATAAATGTAGGAATTATAAAAAATGGGCACTTTTATACTGAGAAGAAAAGATGAAAATTAAAGAGGATTTAGAATATCATTTGTCTGATAAAAATGTCAAATGTGTATCCAGATGGATATATAACAGGATTTTGTTGTCATTTTTTTCTTGACATCTCTGAAGATAGGCAAGACTTCGGAAAAATAACAGCAACAACAAATAATCAGCAAACCGCTCAGGAAAATAGAAATAATTACATACAGAATCATACCATATCTAAAACTTCTCTTTGGCAGTCCACAACAGCCTTTTACCATTTGATTCCTCTAGCACAGGGAAGCAGAAATTCAATTATTGGGAAGGCACTTAAATAATTTTATTTTTAATTATAGTTAATAGAAAGATCTATTGTAGGTTAGTGCCAAATGTTTTAATGATGACACTTAGGAATTTGGGATGCAGTTTTATAGCCTGCTGCTTCTCAATCAAAAACATTATAATTTCTAAAGACAAGCTTGTAAGAGTGCAGTTAATTGTGTGTAGAACACTTACCAAATCATCTGTGACTAATATAACTTGAGAAATTAGAAGAGGAAAGAGGATTCAGCCTTTCGGTAACATGCCTGTCTTACACTGGCCAAACTCTTCTTAGGCAATACTCCGTTTGCTCAGAGGGCCATGTGTTTAATTGTAAAAGTCTGTCAGTACTCTAGGATTTAAAAGACATCAATCATTTCTGTCAGCAAGGAAAGAGTGACGGCTGCGTGACTCTTCTATCATTAGGAAAAGATGTGCTCAAGAGAAAAAAATGTAGTCTTGGGAGGGATGAGCAACTATAGGTTACAGAAAAAGAGTTCCAGGCTGCAATTTCACCCCCCTTCCTTTCCCTGGACTGGAACATTATATTTTTCATTTCATGTAGTTCCATGTTTGCAGTAAGACATTATGTAACTCGGCCAGTCTCAGCTGTGCAATATCCACTAAGTGCTTTAAAGTGGCCATCCTTATTAACAGTTTGGTGTATGTGGAGGGATTGCTTACTTCGGCCTTGGCCCAGTGTAATATTGTGTAATGAGGCTGGGGCTGGCTTATATTCAAACTTACATTCCAAAAGGCCTGCTAGTCAAACCACAAGATAACAGGTTCTCTTTAAGACTTTATTCTAGGTGGACTAAAAACATAAAAATTGCTGTATTTGTACAGTTCCACGGGCAGAATGAGAATTTTCCATGTTTTACTCCCAACTTATTTTATGCTAAGATTTCTGAATTAGCTTGCGTTTAAAGACTCAAAGCACAAATTCCAGTATTCTCTAAATTGTGTGACCTTACGCTGGTTACTTCACTTTCCTGGGCCTCAGTTTCCTTACCTATAAATTAGCAGCAACACCAGTCTAGGAAGTTGGAAAAAGGCTGATAGGTGACGTCACCAAGGCTCCTGCTTCTTAACTGCGTCACCTCAAGCAAGTTATTTCACCTTTTCGACCCGTGTTTCCCTACACTTTGCAGTAGACGAGGTAGGATAACACCGGCAAAGCTCCTGGAACGGTGCCTGGGCACTTGGTGACATAAGCGTTCCTGAGAATAACATTAATGCTAGTGAACATTCCGTAGGTTGATGCGGTTGAGTCACGAAACTCTGGGAGAAGAGAGAAGAAACCGGAACGAGGCTAGAGTCCCGGCCGTCAGAACCCTCCTTGCCCCCGCGAGGGCGGCCAGCCTGCGCCGCGACGCACCCGGACCCGGCACCGCCTCGCCCCACCCCTGCCAAGCCCGGGCGAATCCGGGCGGCGAGTTCCGGGCGGCGGCGCAGCGCGGTCTTCCCCCACCCCCGGCCCTCCCCCCTCCCCTCCTCCCGCGCCTCCAGCCGTGCCAGCTGCACCCGAGCCCGGAGAATCCGCCGTCACCGCGCAGGTGCTCGCGGCCGCCTTCGTCCTACAGGTAGGAGCCGCGCCGCCGCTGAGCGCGCCAGGCTCTTTCGGGCGTCTGATTTCCGCTGCCCTCGCCCTCCGTCCCTCCTCCTGCCGACCCCGCGCGGCTGGCCGCTCCCCGCCCAGCTCGGACGGAACTTTGGCAGAGGCGTCGGCGGCGGGCGCCAGTGCCGGGCGGCTCCGCGGGACCAGCCTCCCTGGCGGGCCTCCTGTGCGCGCCTTCGGTCCCAGTTCTCGCAGAGTCGACGCGGACCAACTTCGGCGGCGCGCGCTTTTGCCGGGGCTGGCGCTGCCTGGAGCGCAGAGCGCCGCGGGCTCCAGGGGAGATTGGGGGCGTGCCCTCAGGGTGCACCGCGGGCCTCGCCTGTGCAGTGGGGCTGGTGCCCCCGGGTCCTCTCGCGCGCCGGGGGTTCGCGTGCGCTGCGGGATGGCGGGGATGGCGGCGCTAGGGGACCAGCATCCCGGACCAACCAGGGAATGCTGCGCTCTGAGGCTTAGAGCCCAGCCTGCCAGATGCACGGCCCTGGGCGTGTGGGCACACAGCTGCTCTGTGCGCCCACGAGGTGATGACGCTGGAGTCGGGCAAGGGCAAGGGGGACAGGAGCGGGGCGTGTGTTAAAGGGCTTGTTTTTCTCTCTCCAACTCGAGGTGTTTGGGACCTAAGTCTCAGATCCAGGAGCGTTGGATAGGATCTTTTGACGCCCTTCAGAACTGCCGGAGCTACCCCCACGCCTATATTTGCTTCTCCAAGTCTCGGCTTATTGCCTCCTTTACTTACTCTGGGAAGTACGAGGCGCAGGTAGATGCTTAAGACCACAGGGTTTCTGTGTTTGAGCATCCCTAGGTCTTTCCCCAGAATGGAGAGTTCCTCTAACTTTATCTGCCAGGTCTCCCAATTTCAGTAGCGATAACCCCTTGTGGGCCTTCTGAGGGCTTTTGGGAGACTAGGTACCCAGAGACATTTGTGATGCGTTAAAAGGGCTAATTAATGGTGGAGTAATGAAAGCGTAAAGAATGAAAAGAATCTACAACTTGAACTGGTCACAGAAGCCACATTTACATATTGCCTGTTTGAATAAAGATCTTCCAGTATTAAATGTTTTGTAAGGTACATACTAGTGAATTTGTACACCGGCTTTTAGCTTGAATTTGTCTACAGTCTCTAAATATTTGGGGATCTTTCAACTAATTGTGCGAGCTCCCAGTGTGTCTTTCCAGGATCCTGTATAACTCACAATCTGTATAAAAAGCAGGGGTAGTTAAGGATTTGAGGAAGATGTGTCTTTACTGTGTTTGTCCCTGATGTCAGAGTATTTATTAATCACAGTGAGAAATGCTGTATAAAGCTCATTTAGGTTTGTTGATTCACTTAAAACTGGCTAGTGGGAGACCCTGCTCCTTGAAAGTTGTCTGATGACCAAGTGTGGCTTTCTTAATTAGAATTTATTATGAAATTCATTTACCTTTAACTCTTCTAGAGTTTTTTTTTAAGTTTTGTTTTTATTGTGGTAAATACATCACATAAAATTTGCCCCGTTCACCATTTGTAAGCATACAGTTCAGTTGCATTAAGTACTTTCTCATTGTTGTGCTTCCATCCCCACTGTCCACCCACAGAACACTGTTCTTTCTTAAAGGGTTTTCAGAACATTTTGATGACAATGATTGTGCTGCAGTCTTTAGTTTTCTCATGAAGCAGAGTTTGAGTTCCTTCTCATAGCTCTACAGAAATGCACTTTTAAAGAGGAAAGGTGAAAAGCCACCGCCAGTTTGTGTTTAGTCAGTCTTATCTCCATCAAGAAAGATCTGCGACATTACTATAGAAGGATAAGCTGGTGAGCTATTTAAATTTGTATATAAAAGTATTGTGAAGGGCACCTGGGTGGCTCAGTCGGTTGAGCGACTGCCTTCGGCTCAGGTCATGATCCTGGAGTCCCGGGATCGAGTCCCGCATTGGGCTCCCTGCTCAGCAGGGAGTCTGCTTCTCCCTCTGACCCTCCCCCCTCTCATGTACTGTCTCTCTCTCTCTCTCTCATTCTCACTCTCTCAAAATAAATAATAAATCTTTAAAAAAAAAGTATTGTGAAGTTTAGCTATGGGGAGGGAGGAATCCAGGAGGGAGTTATTGTTGTTGATAGTTTCCTCCCCTTAATATTTCACAGAACATTGAAATACTTTTGTGTCCTTTAGCTGTGCAGTAGTGTGTATCTAAGTGATGCTTGAGCTCTGATCATGGCACCTTTTTAGTAACTAGAAGCAGTTTTGCCCAAGCTAGCTGTTGGGTGTAGCTATTTCTAATGCACTCCAGGTGGGTGTTTACTAAACATTGATGCTAGAGGACTCAGCACATGAGATATGGCTCTTTAAACTCACAGTTGGTCTGAGTCATTGTGTTCAGGAGACAGCTGTCCCCGTGCCAGGCCTGGTTGTATGTTTACAATCCTTTAAGTCTTAGCACCACACAATAAAATGTATTCTCCAGCTGGGCTGTGGATAAATGTTGTTGCAGAGTGAAAATGAGAAACTTATAACCTAATTTCCCCAAAGCCCGTGACTTTCCTGATTAGAAAAAGAGTTGTACAAATTGTATCTTTTGCTGCAGTGGGAATGCATTCCAGCGTGTTGGTTTCCCTGAATTCACAGTGCAGTGTAAAAATCTGGATCCCAGATGTTTCGTGTTGGGTCATTCAATAGTGTATGTTATGTAAGTGTTTCATAGTGTCACAGGGTTTGTTTTTTTTCTCTTTCTGTTGTGAAATTTTCTTAATTTTTGAATTTATTAAATACACATTGCAGGGACAGAAGAAAATGATCGGTTTATTTAACCAACATTTATATAGCTCTTACTACGTGCCAGGCACTATTTCTATGCATTTTACAAACGTGAACACATTTAATCCTCCTTTAATTCCTGGGAAATAGGTAATAATATCATCTCTGTTTTATAGATGAGGTGATTGGAAGCAGAGAGATCATACAGCTAGCCTATGGCAAAGCTGGAGTCCCATCTCCAGCAGCCTGTACCCAGAATCTGGGCATCTGGGCATGGCTATATCACCAGTACAGTAGAACCTGAGATTCCATCCTCCTAGCAAATAAACTTTTTTCAGGTTGTGATATTCCTAGCTTGTCCTTATCCTTAGGGAGAAATAATTCGACATAATTGCAATCAGAAAATCAGTTCGACTCCCTTATTTTTCAGAAGAGGAAATTAAGGGGGAGTTTGATTATGTCCAGTATTTCCAGGGCAGGATCCTGGAAACCTTCTATTGGGCTAACGAAGCCTTACCTCCTGACTGAGGAGGTTGGGATAGGGATCCTGGGAAGGTCTGGAAAGGCCACGGTGTGTGTGTGTGTGTGTGTGTGTGTGTGTGTGTGTGTGTGTGTGTGTTTGGGGGGGAGGAGGGTAGTATTTGCCAATCAGGGGGGAAATGCTTCAGTATTTTAATAATCATTTTGACCATCCTGGAGCTCATCTGCTAAATTAAGTCCTGGGGGATGTCAGGGGTGCACAGAGCAGAAGCTTATGGCTACCTGTAGGCCGTGGGAAGGCTTGCTGCTTAGGGCTCCAGATCCCAGATTCCTTCCCCCGTTGTTGGTGATGCTTGTGGCCCTGGACTCCCCTCGGCACGAAGGGAATAGGTTTATTCTGTACTCAATCATTTTTTGAGCTTTTTGGATCTCGAGTTGGGAACCTTTTGAAAACCTCTGACGCACAAAAGAAAATCAGCCAAGAGCAACATGGAAATAAAAATAACTTCATTTGGTTGGTCCTTTCGTTGAGAGAGAGAGAGATGCAACTAAGGGCATAAACTGACAAACTTTATATTAAGAACAGGAAAATCAAACTTCACTAGTGATTTTTTTCCCCCAAAGTCAGCTTTTAGAGACAGTACATTTGGATGAGGGAGAATAAGGGCCAAACACAGGAAAAGAAAAGTGGGGGCAGGGAGAGGAGGAGATGGAAGAGGGCATGCAGAAGAAGACAGTGCTGAAACCTTACCAGTTCTTTCTACAAGGCTGCGTTTCAGTGTGTTACCTCCTAATGCCCTTTGAGATGCCAAACGGAGTTGAAAAGTATCTTTCCTTTGGTTTATCTTGAAGCGACTTTAATGTTGCTTAAAATCATTGTTAATCATGTTTAGTATATGTGCTGCCGAAGTGAGCACTAAAACCATTGATCAACAAAGGATGGGGACAATGAGATATCAGGGGACTCTTTAGCCCTTGCTTGGGATCTTCATACCAATCCAGTCTATTTTTGTTGGTACCACTTTTATGTATGGATTTTATATAGAGCATGATATTGGAATCACTAGGTTTGTGATTGTTTTCTTCGTTATCTATCTTCCCTGTGAGAGGGAAAGGTCCTAGGGGCCATAGGCTGTGTTTTTGCCATTTTTGTGTCTCCAGTGTTCATTGTGGTGAACAATAGTTGTGAGCTGAATGAAAAGGTACATTTAATGGATGAAGGAAGATGGTGTGATTCATTTTATTCAAAACACATAGATATTTCCTGGAAAGAAGGTTTTTATGGCTAATGTTTTACTTAGTTATTTGTTCTACTGTGCCATTTAACTATTCTTACAAATACATTTGTAGATGTGGAGTGAACAGTCTGTGGGATTTATCATCTGTACTCATTTTTTTTTTTTGGCCTTTTTTTCTGCAATGTTTTGATGGAAGAGTTTTGATGGAAGAGTCCTTTGAAATGAGATTGGTGAGGTAGCAATGGATGGGGGTTCCATGGCTTGGAGCAGGAAAACAGTTCCGGATGTATGGAGGAGTGTTGATATGAATATGCAGAACCCAAAGTGGGAAATTTGATAAAAAGGGTGGAGTAGGAAGAATAACAAATTGAAGATGAAATCTGACATTGTTTAAAAAACCTCACCATTGTTCCCACTTTGGAATAAAAACGTAGAAGCCAAGGTTAGGGTACAGGATTTGGAGATGAAGTATATTTGTGATACTAACATGATTGTGATGTCAAAAAGAACCACTACCACCACAACAAAACAGAAAAAGGAGAGGGGAAATCCAGCCAGAATCCTTTTATCCTAAGGAAAAACCCACCAGTTGGGATATGTAGATGGTAATATTTCAAAACTAGGAACATGGAGCAAGGACTCTAACTAACCCCAACCTTTACCTCGCCTCAATCCCAACACCAACCTGCTATTCTTGTGGCTGGAAATGCAGGGTGATGGGGCACTGACTAAGCAAAGCAGGTCTTTGAGGCTTGTAAGGCACAGCTGGGCTCCACAAAGTCCCCACTGGGAGAGATAATGACTATGGGCCTCAACCTTAGGCCAGAGAGCTTTGATTCAGATCCAGAGGACTCTAGCACCATATGGTGTAAGACAGGTAACTTCAAAATTCTCTATGCCTTAGTTTCTCCATCTGTAAAACAGGGTTAAAAGTCATACCTGTCTCACAGGACTGTTGTGAAGACTGCAGGAAACAATGCCTAGGAAGTGTTTAGCATAGAGCCTAGAACATAGAAATGGGACAGGAAATGTTCGGTCCCTTCTTTCACACATTGCCCTCCTGTCTCTGTCCCAAATTGTGTAGGAGTGACGTCCATAAATAACTAAGCGAACTGGAATTGCTGCTAGAGGTGACATGGAGATGTGGCCCTATGGGAATATGGCCGAAGGAGAAATGAATTTTGCCTGGGAGGAAATCTTGAATGAGAGTGAGATTTCATGAGACCCCGGTGATGAGAAGTAGTGGGAAGACTTCTGGAAGCAAAGCTGGTTATAACTAGAGAAAATGAACTGTGTGCCTTTGATAATTATACTTTTAGGGTATAGGTTTTGACATTAGCTAGAAAATTTGCTTTTTCTTAATCCATAAGCGTGGCATGGCATGTAATAGAAGAACCCTGATTTGTTGTTTTTTTTTTTTTAAGATTTTATTTATTTATTTGACAGAGAGAGACACATCGAGAGAGGGAACACAAGCAGGGGGAGTGGGAGAGGGAGAAGCATGCTTCCCGCCGAGCAGGGAGCCCGACGCGGGGCTCAATCCCAGGACCCTGGGATCATGACCTGAGCCGAAGGCAGACGCTTAACGACTGAGCCACCCAGGCGCCCCACCCTGATTTGTTTAATAGAAGCATAGTATTTAATAGGAGAAGCACAGTTTATTGCTCTTTACCAATGAGTGTATGTATAGAGGTGTGTTTTTAAAATGTATTTAGAATTAAGAAGAACAGAGTATATTCCCCAGGTAGGAGTGAACTAGCTCATGGTATGTCAGAAAAACCCCCTTCCCGTCACATTCTTCAGCTTCACATTATATGGGAGAAGGGCATTGCTGACACCATTATCTTTATAGGGGTGTGGGTAAATACCTATCCACACGAGTCATGGATGGAAGTATAGACCATTCGTCAACAACCTGGACCAGCTATTTTCATGCTTTAAAAAAAATTATGGTTACCGTTCTCCATCCCCACCCCTAAGAACCACTTTTCTAAAGGCGCTCTTCTGTGAAATCCTAGTATGTAAAATACCCAAGGGAGAGCTGTTCTTGACAGTTCCTAGATGGGGACAGTGAGCTGGCTGCTTCCTCCAGTCTTCCCTCCCTGACTACCACTTGGCACCAGCTGCCCCTCAGCTCTGGAACCCCAGGGCTCCTAGGAGCAGCTGTGAAGGCACTGCCTCAGTTTTCACCTTTTCGAACTGCCACTGCCCATCTCTTGGGATTGTCAGAAGGGTTCTGTTTCTGGAACACTCCAAGTTGGGTTCTACCATAGGGCCTTTGCCTGGCGCTGTTCCCTCTGCCTGGGACACCCTTGTCCTAAGGCCCTGTATGGCTTGCATCTTTTTTTTGTGTGTGTGAAAAAATCTTTATTTTAAGAAAAAAATTTAGTTAACAAAAAAATTTAACAAGTTTCACTTAGCAAAATACACCCAAAAGGAAATCACAGTACAAAGAAAGTTTTAAGTCAAGGCCTCACCAATTCCTACCGTATTAGTAATGTGTCTCAATTTTCAAAACTAACTTATTTTTAAAAGCTTAAACTTAAGCTAAAAGATTTTAAATGAAAATAAACTAGAATGAACAAACATGAGAAATGTTCCTCTTTGAATCAGGGATCTAGCACCTTGAGTTTTCCAAAAAAGCACGTCTCCCCAGTGCGTTCACGGTGATGTGGTGTAAAAGATCCATTTAATGTACTTAAAACTACTTTAACTCAGATAACATCACTCTGAAGTACACTACCAAAATGTTAATTGAGAAAGGCTGAAAGTAGTTTTAGTTTACTCAATATCACATGCTAGAAGAAAGTTTGCATGAGAAAACACTGAAGAGGTAATTTTTTAATCCAGATTTCACAAACTCATGGTGCAAAATGGGTCCCACAGCTTCCTCTAGAGTAATAATTGCTTTTCACTGCTTGTTGGCTGCCTGTGAAAATGATTGCAGTAACTCAAATGCTTCTACAAAACTAGTCATATCCACCCACGCTGTTCTGGCCTCCATAGCCAGCCCCATAACAGCCACTCACAGACTGGCTCTCAAGGCCACTGTAAGTGGACTGGGCTGACGCCCCCATGCCTTGCATCATCTGGCTGCTCTGTGCCCCATTGCTGGTCCCAGTTGTGGAATTCAGGAAACGTTCTATGTATCTGTGTTGCATGTTGGCCCGGTCTTTGGACATAGCTGCCACAGCTTCTCCGTGAGTGGCAAACTCAACATCGGCTTCGCCCGTCACTCTTCCATCAGGGCCAGTCTCAGTATGGACTCTCACAGGGTTGAGTGGAGAGAAGAAGTTGTAAATGTCGTTCTCTGTGGCTGTGTATGGCAGCCCTCTCATGTGGACGCAGTGTCCAGTGGTACTCTGGACGGTGAACTCGCCGTCTCCGTATCTGTGGTCGTACATGCCCGAGAGACAGTAACTGAGGTCTCTCCCGAACAGATCAGTGGTGAAGCCGTAGCCATGGCTGAGGCCGCTGTACTCCTCATAGCCCCCATAGCCTGCACTATATGCACCAGACCTCATCCTCTCCAGGCCCGCTTGCTTGACAATGCCAATATACCTCCTGGCTGTGTCGGGGCGGTCATAGGGCCACAGCTGCTGTACAGACATGAATTTCAGAGGGGGATATGAGTATGACCTAACTTCTTCCTGACTGCTCTTGAACATTTCAATATGCCTGTGCCCTGCTCTCTCCTTGTGCTTCCCTAGGGCCTTCTCGGCTAACTCCTGGGAGGCAAACTGCACAAAGGCTTCCCCTGTAATCTTGCCCTCGGGTTCCACAGGCAATGTGATCCCATTTGGCACAATTTCCAACCCTGAGGAGAACTGAACAATTTCTTCCTTGGTGCATCCAAATGGGAGTCCTCGAAGCCGCAGGAAGCCATCATTGGCAGTGTCGGCACTGTTTGGACGGCTGTGCTTCAACACCCAATCCATCTCGGTTCTGTGGGATTTGAACACCTCAATGTACCGATATCCCATGCTTTCCCTATCTTTTTTAAGGGCCATTTTTACATCATCTTCTGATTCAAGTTCAACAAAAGCCTCACCACTCTGCCTGCCTTCTCTAGTATAGATGAAATGAACGCCTGCAGCCCCATCATGAATTGTGCAGAAAGGAAATTCTGCACATCCTCAACAGAGCAGGACCGGGGCAGGCCACGGAGCTTGACCACAAAGCCGTCACCTCCCTCGGGGCCCAGCATCATGGACACTTGAGAGGACAGACGTCAAACAAGCTTGTGGGCAGCTTTTTGTGGCTTAAAGAACAACCGGGCGGGGCGGGGGGGAAGCCCACAGTCGGAGATGCTCCTGATAGGTAACGAACTGTCCTCTGAGGGGAGCAGGACTGATTTCTATTTTCATCAAACAAGCGCGGTTTACAGCCAAAAGACCCCTAATTCCACCCGACGACGCTTAAAAACGCAGAGGGCTCCGGGGAAAGTCCAGGTGCGTCTCCTTTTGTTATTAACCTCGGGCTCCGAGTCTCCACGCTTCCGCTCTTCACATCCGGCACCTTGATCGTCCCTCTGAGTAACTTCTCCAGGAAGACGCGGCCGGCTTGCATCTTTTTAACATTTAGGTCCATGAGAAAAAGTTCAAATGTTACCTCCCTAGAAAGGCTTTCCCTGACTGTGAGATCTGCTTCCCCACTCAGTCTGCTTTGCTTTGCCCACTGACTCATCCCTGCTAGCCCGTTATTATGGGTTATTTTTATCCCAGCACTTATCTCTGTCTGAATTCTTCTTTTCTCAAATACCAAGTTTTCTATGTAAGAACGTAAAAGCTCTGTGACAACAGGGACTTGCCTGGCACATAGTAGGTGCTCACTAATAACTTGTTAAGCGAATGCCTCTCCAAATTGCTGTCATGAGTGTATGATGTTAGTGTGAACCCTGTTTTCCCAAATGGTTCCAACTGCTCTCCTAATTGTTCTTCTCTGACCCTGCCAATGTTATCATGTTCATGTCAATGATTCATTGCGGAGTGTTACTGCCATTTGGAAAAAGGGTCACTGCTGACCAGTGGGAAATAAAATCTGTGGCTTTCTATGTGAATGTCACCTTTCATTTTCAGAGAGCTTATAAGGATTTGATTCAGCTGCACCCATCTGTCCCATGGGTGAATAATCTGTGACAATTAAGCATGAAAGTACTGTAAAGTAAACCTGATCAATTTTGGGAAACTTCTTTTGAGTGTTAGGAGGGGCAGTTTTGGCAGGGTGAGGGGAACCTGGGGTGTGTGCATCACTCTGGAAGATACCAGGCAGCCAGAAATGCATGTTGGAGAGGTTTGCCCTGTCCGATCTCACCAGAAGGCACTGAGCAGGCTTGACTAATGGCGAGGTAATTTTTGCAGATCTTTTGCCGAGAAGGCTAATAGGGTTGACAGTGAAAGCTGTCACCCCGTGTTTGTGGTGGTTCCTGCTCATGCTGGTGTTGGAGAGTTTATGAAGCAGAGTCCTTTGATGCCGTCAGTGCTCAGCATGTGCTCACGCGTGTAAGGTGCGGTTCTGCCTGCCGGGGGCTTGTGGTGTAAGTCACTCGGTCGGCTGAAGGCAGGACTGAGTCATGCAGCTGAGGCATGCCCCATCACCTGGAATGGGCTGGCATTTTGTAATGATAACATGTCCCAGTTTTTTAAGATAGTGGTTTTCGAGCTGCTCTATGTTTCAGGGGCAGGCTAGGATTGGAGCTGGGCTGGGGTCGGGAGGCAGGGAACAGAGTTCTGGAGCTTCTCTAAACCCCACTTACACCCAAAGCATCTCATTAAAAACCCATAATTTTGTATATTTGCCTTTTTAAAAATAAGCTTTTTATTTTTTTTTTTTTAAGATTTTCTGTTTATTTTTTTGGGAAAGAGAGTGAGCAAGAGAGAGAGAACACGAGTGGGGGGAGGAGCAGAGGGAGAAGCAGGCTCCCCGCTGAGCAGGGAGCCTGGACATGGGGCTCGATCCCAGGACTCTGGGATCAAGACCTGAGCCGAAGGCAGATGCTCAATGGATGGAGCTACCCATGTGCCCCAGTAAGCTTTTTAGATTTACAGAAAAGTTGCAAAGATGGTGTATATGGGTAAGGTATGGTTTCCTCTGTTATTAATATCTTATACTAGAATGGTACATTTGTTAGAATTAATGAACCAATATTAATGCATTATTAACTAAAGTCCATACTTTATTCAGATTTCCTTAGCTTTTTCCTAGTATCCTTTTTCTATTCCAGTACCCCATCCAGGATACCATGCTACATTTAGTAGTCCTATCTGCTTGGGCTTTTCTTGCCTGTGATTGTTTCTCAGACTTTCCCATGTTTTTGATGACCTTGATTGTCTAAAGGGGTACTGGTATTTTGTAAAATGTCCCTCAGGCATAAATTTTTATCATGTTTTTCTCCTGATTAGACTGGGATTATGGGTTTTGAGAGGTAAAATACCATTCTCATTGCATTGTATCAAGGGCACGCATTATCAACATGATGTATTATTCCTGATGGTAATTTTGATCATTTGGCTGAGGGAGTGTTTGTTAGGATTCTTCATAGTCAAGTTATTTATTTTCCCCTTTTCAATACTGAACCCTTTGGAAAGAAGTCACTGTGTGCAGCCCACACTATTGAGATGAGAAGTTATGCTCCACCTCCTAGAAAGGGTAGTAGCTCTATAAATTATTTAGTTTGTGTCTGCATGGGAGATTTATCTTTTCATCCTTATTTATTTATTTAGTTATTCAATTACTTATTTATATCAGTGCGGACACATGGATACTTATACTTTTGATTGTATAATCCAAAACAGTTATTTACTTATATTTGGCTTTTTTAGGAATTTTATTCAAACAAATAAAATCCTTTTATTTAAAAATGTTAGAAAACTATTGTTTTTTTAAAAAAGGTTTACCTCTTTTTTTTCCCCTTTAAATATCCTTTTTATGCATATATTGATTTGAAGCAATAAAGATGAAATTATCACTTAGATTTTTTTTATTTTTTGTAGGAGTAAGGTTAAAATATATGTATTTCAGTGGTTTTTTTTGGAGGAGTAGAGGTCAAAAGGCATCTTTTGCCCTACTGTATACTGAGTTTGCTCTCAGTATTTTAAATTATTGTTGAGATCAGCTCTAGGGAGATTTGTAGTCATCGGTCTTTTAAAGATTTTATTTATTTATTTAAAAAGCATAATTGGGAGAAGGGCAGAAGGGAGAGGGCGAGAGAGAATTTCTAGCGGACTCCCTGCTGAGCACAGAGCCTGACCCAGGGCTTGATCTCAGGACCCGGAGATCATGACCTGAGCTGAAACCAAGAGTTAGGTGCTTAACCCACTGAGCCACCCAGGTGCCCCTGCAGGCATCTGTCTTTTAAAAACTCCTTAGGAAGTGGAAAAACATACATGGGTTTAAGAGTAATTTTTGGTCTTCCTGTCTTTTTTTCTTTAGATTTTCCTTAAGTAGAAACTTTCAAAATGCTGCTCAGCATACTGTCTTACTGCTGAGAGAATGGTAGACTTGCTACAGGAGCCCCCACACCAGTCTTCCATGCTTTCTGTTTTTTAAGACAAATCTCTGGTGTGTAGTATTTTTCTCTATTAATAAAGTTAAAGAGACTGTATGTAAACTTATATCTCACCCCTTTTTAAAACATCTAAAAGTTGGGCACCTGGGTGGCTCAGTTGGTTGGGCAACTGCCTTCGGCTCGGGTCATGATCCCAGAGTCCTGGGATCGAGTCCCACATCGGGCTCCCAGCTCAGCGGGGAGCCTGCTTCTCCCTCTGACCTTCTCCCCTCTCATGCTGTTTCTCTCTCTCTCTCTCTCTCTCAAATAGATAAATAAAAATCTTAAAAAAAAAACCAAAAAGCAAAACATCTAAAAGTTGAACGTGTCCTCACCTGCCTATTGACCTGGCTTAAAATAAAGGAAAAGCATCCTAAAAATATTTCATTCCCTTTACTTCTTTTAGCGTTCTAGATTTTCTTTTGTATTTTATTAGTTAATTTTTTTCTAAAATTCAGTGCTTTTAGGCGTTCTTGTTTCTGTCCCAGTTCACACACACACAGATACTTTATTTTTTTATTTTTTTTTAAAGATTTTATTTATTTAATTGACAGAGAGGGAGAAGGACACAGAGAGGGAACACAAACAGGGGGAGTGGGAGAGGGAGAAGCAGGCTTCCCGCTGAGCAGGGATCCCGATTCAGGGCTCGATCCCAGGACCCTGGGATCATGACCTGAGCCGAAGGCAGTTGCTTAACCAACTGAGCCACCCAGGTGCCCCTTACACACAGATACTTTAGAGAGTGGTTTTATTCGCAGGCAAGTTCTCCTTTTTTAAAATCAAATTTGTGGGCAATTATATGTGGAGACCAGGTGACCTGGCCATTTGGGCCAGAGAGATGCTTCTGAGTCCGGTATTGGTTAGTGGCTTAGTGTGCGGTGGGTTACGCATGTAGCCCTAGTGCTCTGATGCCCCACTGAGGACTTAGTCCTCTTACAAAGAGTGTGAGGCCCATTCCAGCATGGCTGACCCCATAAGTGGACAAGTGAACTCAGGCCTGTGAATCAGTTCCCAGTAGGACCCAGAGCTGGACCTTGACATCTGGCTAGACAGGCAGAAGGGGTTTACTATTGCAATCCATAAAGAGTAACGGTATTAATTTAGAACATGTTGAGAAGTCATTATTATATTGCATGATAATTAAGCACAAGTTAAGCATAAAGGATAAGCACCTCACTTAATTGCCTGTAATTAGAATTATTTTAACACAACCAGATCAGACATTCAATTCTCATTCTTTCTCATCAAACTGGTGCCTATATTAATACTATCTTCTGATTCCACCCAGGATTTTTTTCTCAATTTAATTTGTTTATTCACTAAGTCATAGACCATTAATCTGATGACTTCTATACAGTAAACGTTTCCTTACACAGTGATTTCCTAGGGCCAAGGACCTAGAGAGGCTATGAAATTTGTCTATAACTAAAATGATCACATATTCAATGAGCAGGAATGACCAGAAGTGAATATAATTTTTTTTCTTTGTCATAGCACATAAGCCAAGCTAGGTCTGGGGCAGGGATGGAGCTGCATTGCTTCAGATAAGGCCTGGCCTCTTTAGCCTTGGGAGTCTCTTCACCACGCCCCCAGAGCTGATGTGCAAGGCAGGTACCAGAGCCCCAGGGTAGAGAGGATGGTGCCCCCCTCAACTGAGAGTCTTTAGGCTCTGAATTAGCCTCTGGGCTCTCCAGGCACCCTGGAGCCTCTTCTCCTCAGAGGGTAGGCTTGGAGAACATTGTTTCCCCAAACAGAGGCTTGGTTTTCTTCAAAACGTAGATGCACTGCTTAATGCAAAAATGAGTTTAGAATTACATTAGTGGAGTATGTTTAAGTGATCATAATTTACTGAGCACATTCTCATCATTTAGATTTGCAATGCCTCCCACAGCATTTAACTGGTCCCCTTTTATCTTATCAAGCCCACTTTCCTGCTGTGGCTGATTATACAACAAAAGGACAGCCTTACTCCTGTATGGGTGAGCGTTACCTGGACTCAGTGGCCTGAGCACTTTCCCCTTCCCTTTAAAGTGTCTTTAGGTTTCACGTTTTAAGGGATCAGTGATACTTCCATTTATCTATCGTTTTACAAATGAGTCATGAAAAAAATGGAAAATGGGTTTACCCGTGTGATGGCTCACATGACAGCCATCACAAAACGTAAGGAAGAATGGCACTTAAGGAGTAGTAAGCCTTTAA